CCCCAAAACCCCAAAACCCCAAAACCCCGTTTGGCTTCTCAGAAGTTGATAAATTTACACATTGTAAGGAATAGTGGCTAAGATAGATAGAAGTCTTTTTAATTATTCAAATAGTATCTAAAACCTTCTTAATCAATGACTTGTGATGAGTAATTATTTAAGACTCATCCTTTTACTGAGCTTCATTGAGCTTCTAGGCTTTGGCTTCTTAGGCATCTTCATTGACTTCGAAAGTATGCTTTTTCCTCCACTTTGGCATAAATCCTTCATTGAAGATCGAGATTTCTTAGTTGGTGTTTTATAATACTCTGAGTTTTCTCGTTTTCTGCTTTGAGACCGTTGCTGAGTCTCGAAGGTAAACTCTTTAGATTTGGTAAGTTTCTTAGTAGATCTGTAGACAACGAAAGGGATATACTGGCTTTTGGGTATCTTCTTACTCTTGAAGGTTCGCCTCCCACCTTTTGTATATTCTTCAAAATTCATCAGAGTTTTGAAATTTTTAGTCTGGGTTGAGTCCAGAGGATCTCGATGAGAAAAATCCTTGTTTTTGACAAGTTTAGAATGCTTTTTGAGACATTTCATCGAGTGCCGATAATTACCGCTTTGAGAAGTTGTGGGAGAGTAAGACTTTTTAGGGGTCTTAAGAGTCTCAGTGAAGTCATTAGCAATTCCTTCAAAATCTATAGTTAAAGTTTTAGGGTTTGTTGATAATTTAGTTATAAAATTAAAATCGAAGAGTATTGAGGAAAAATTATATAAAAGATAAAGGTTTATTTTACAATTAATTTGAATAACTTACCGTCACCTATGTCCTCGAAGATGTTGAGAATATTATCAATCGACTTCTGATCCATCATACCATCCTCTATATTTAGTGTTAATTCTAAGATATATGTCAAAATCCTTCAGGTTTTTTAGATTTTCTGAAAATATTATATATTTTTATTTTTTATCACTTTAAACCTCTTTTCGATTAAAAAGCATGTTATTTCTAACATGACACATATTCCCAGCAATGCTAACCCTCTAATACCCAAACCACCATTACCTAACCCTTCAAAGTTCTCTCCTACCTTCACTGCCCCTCTGCTGTCTCCCTACCTCCTCAAGATCCACTCTGGCCACTCCAGTCTCTTTCCTGAGTCTCATCGATCGTTTTAAGCTCTTCTCTGAGATCCGTTTCTTAACTTTCTTCTTCTTATTCGTCCTGGTGCAGATTCCTCTATATGCCGTTAACTCCTTCCACAAGAGTATGGCCTTGTAGTACCATCACCAAGTTCCCTTATCAACAAGAGGACGTATAATACCATTGCCCTTGTACTCTCTTTCCCTAACTATCTTTCCCCCGGTTCAAACCAAGCCCGATACACTAGCCTGGTCCCAACATCTTAGATAGCTTAAAACAGGAACAAAAATAGTGAGATTTTGGAGGCTGAGAGCAAATTTCAGGAATTTCTTAAGGACATTTCTTAGATTTTAGGAAGGAAATTGGGAAGAAAGTCGGTTAGTAGAGCAGAAGAGTGGAGAATTACTTATTTGGACAGATTTGAGAGGGCTTTTGTGATTTTGACCATTCTGATTTTACGTTTATGAGGAGAGCGGACCAAGGTAGTCTAAAGCAGAGTTTAGAAGAAATTTAAAAGAATACATACTTGAGGAGCATTAGGATGACTCTTGATTTGAATCGTACTTGTTTTCCAAATCCTAAAGGTTAGAGATGTATTACTGAAGATTTGAGTTTTTTATAGGTGTTTTTGGATAACTATATTTGTTTCTATCCTCCTCCATAATTCCTTTAGATTAATATTTTATCTCTTAAATTAAAATTTAAGCCAAGGGGTTTTGGGGTTTTGGGGTTTTGGGGTTTTGGGG